TCTAAATGTCCCTCTCTGCACTGCAAATCCTAGGATTTTGTAGGATGCAACCATGGCAATTGAAGTAGAAAAATAGCACTATAATTGTGTGATGCAGTGGTTCTCAAATGGTGGCGTGGGACCCCTGGGGGGATGCAAGAGTTGCTCAAAGGGGGAGGGGGCGCACATGACTTGTAGGTCCTCATCTCTCCTCCTCCTCCTTTTCCCGAAGTTTTTATGTGTAAAATTTACACATATATTGAATTAAATATTGAATTTACTCAAATAAAACTGTCCTAATTTGAACAATGTTATTTCCTTATAAAATGTTAAATATGAATATACATGAATATGCGAATGAAAATATGTACACCAAATAAAATATTTTCATTCATATATTATGTTGAATGCGGTGTGTGTGATATCTGTATCTAGATGTAAATGGGAGTCACTGGTGTAATGTGAATGGGTCCCAATCACATTAAAGATGCAAAAGGAGAGGGGAATATGTGAGCACTTAGGTTTATTTTCATGACAAACCACAGTTGATCATTCAAACTAAGTACAACCTAGGTAGGACTACCAAAAGTCTCCAGCTCAAAATTTAGTTCAGTTAAATTTAGTTACATTTATAAATAGCTTCACATAAACCAGAAGAATTCCAAAACAATTTACAAAATAGTACATAAAACCCAACAATATATTAACAAATTCATTAAAATCACACAAATATACTGAAAGTGTCAGTTCATAAGATCATCTAAAAGCAACCCCCATTCAGCAAAGGTATGGAAAACACCAACAGCCATCCAACTATGAAGTATTAGGATTATCCAAATGCTCAGGGGCAGGAGGAAAATTTTGTTTGCAAGACAAGGTTCCGGGGGGGGGGGGGGGGGGGGGGAGAGCTATGTTCAAATCTTTCCTCTGCTATGAACTCACTAGTTTTTTTTACCCCTTATTTTGTCATTTCATATAACAATAAATATTGGAGCATATTAAGTATTTGTGATTACAAAACAGGGAAGGTTTTATTGGAAGGAAAATCTTAAGATAACCATGTTGCCAAAGTAATTTTTTTTTCAAGATCCAAATGGACCCAGGAATGTAAGATGGATTATTTGACACATTTAAGAAAACTGATGGCAGCAGGAACCAATAGCTCAAGAGGACTAGGTATGGTTTTGATTTATTAATCTTTGAACACAGAAAACATACATACAAACATAAACTCTTTTGAGATGCCTCCACCACCAGATGTCTAACAGCTTTAAACTAGCTAGCTCAAAGAAATTGGGATGCCATTATATATTACAAAGTCCATTCCGACATTCCATTGCCAAACCATTTAGCTTAATATTCTGGGTCTCTGATGAATGACCCTACTGACCCAGCACTAGTGGTGAAGACAAAACCCTTTCATTAGTGTTTCCCTCACTTTGGGTCCCTAGGTTATGTTCAACTACAACTCTCATAATCCCTGACCATTGGTCATTCCAGCTAGGTATGATGGAAATTTTCATAAAAGTACCTTTACTGCCAGAGTTTTGTTACAGGATAACCACTTTCATTCATGAGGCTTATAGAATCATAGAATCATAGAGTTGGAAGAGACCACAAGGGCCATCCAGTCCAACCCCCTGCCATGCAGGAACTCAAAATCAAAGCATCCCCGACAGATGGCCATCCAGCCTCTGCTTAAAAACCGCCAAAGAAGGAGACTCCACCACTCTCCAACAGTCCTTACTGTCAGGAAGTTCCTCCTAATGTTCAGGTAGAATCTCTTTTCCTGTAGCTTCCCGGATCTTATATTCCAAATCTTAAATTCTTACAAGACAGTCCAAAACACACTGCAGAAATAATCCAGTTTGAGACTGTTTTAA